AGAAATGGCATCTCAGTGCATGCCAGTGTGTCTGTAGTGTTCCTCTTCCCTCCTTTCTCTTTATTAGTGTCCTTCAGGGTTAGGAACACTGCTCTACCCCATCACGAGTGATGCGTTGGGAATGATGCTCAAGCTATTAAAGAGGAGAAAACCAGATCTCTGCCAGTGGGTGGTTTTCACCTCCAGACCATTCTGGGGGTTCCTGGATGGGGTGGGATGGAGGGAGTAGGGAAATGCGGGCACACTCTCACTGGATAGGGATGTGAATAAGCTGAGTTCAGTTCTTTTTTGGGGTGTGTTTTAGTTGCATTGTCTCCTGTTGTTCTTGGAATGATATTTAAAAGGGGGAGAGCAACGGGAAGGTGTTCCCCTGATTTATGTCATGGGTGAATCCAAACAAGGCTTGAAAGAAAAAAAAAGGAAAATACCTAATGCTGCATGGATCCAATGCCTGTGGGAATGGTTCAGGTAGGTTGATGATGTCAACAGGGAAGAATCCCAAAATGGGTACATGGTTTTGAGAATGAATGCCTGTCCTCCTGTGCTGCCATCACTAGTTGGGTTCCTCTCTTTTGCTGTTTTAACCACGGTGTCACTCTCAGGTGAAGAGTGTGGCTTTGTGAGCCCTTCTTAATGGAGTAAATGGAATGAAACCAGCATTTGTCTTCAGAGCACAACATAAAACATCATGGCAACCCTTGTGGTGAGCTAAGCATAACTTCCAATAGCTCAACATTAAAGAGCTTTTTGCTTTTATCTGCTGGCCTGTAGCTCGCTCTTAGGTAGCAATGTCAGCTGGATGTGTGAAAGCTTCTGCAGTTTGGAAGTGAACCTTAATGATTCGAGTTTATTGTTGTTATAAGTGTCAAGCTGCTAAGGAGAACATGTGCTGTATCCTGAGTATTTTTTACTCTGGGTGAATGGAAAGCAAATGTGTGAAGCAGTCTTCTCTTGCCTTGTATGACAAGGACTCTATAACTTGTTTTACTTGTTCATTCCCCACTGATAAATGATACAGATGAAGCCTGTGTGGGTGGGGAAGGGAAGACAGGTAGCCCTCGTACCGCAGAAGGTCAAGGTTAATGCTACCTCCAGCATTATAATGACAGATGGGAGGCAGAAACCTTAATGTACTTGTGATTAGCATATGGTTTCCTTGGCTGAGTGTCCGAAGGATTTAAGAAGCCCTGGTCCGCACTTCATAGCGTTCACATGTTAAAACAAACAAATAAAAAGTGTGTATGGTTTTATTGTTGAGCCTTTCAGCTGTTTTCCTTGAATATCTGCGCTTTTGAGTCAAGTACTGTCAGCTGCTGTGTTCTGGAGATGCACTGGGGTAATCCATCACCAGGGACTCGCGGGCGGGTGATGTATTAGCACGACATATCGACCTGTGTTCCTCTGATGTATAACTCATCAAGATAATGTTGGCAAGCATTGTACAAAAGGCAGCATGTTTAAAAAGTATTAAGATGAATTGATTCCTTGCTTAAGAAGTGTGAAAGGAAGAATAATAGCAGATTAGCTCTGGGATACTGTGGTTCTCCCGGAGCCGTGCTGCGTTGTGCGGTGCAGAGGGGCGGATGGAATTTCATCTTTCCTCCCACTTCTGACAGCAAAGTGTCTGGCCCTGGTTTTCCCATTCTCAGGCAAAAAAAAAGTCGCCTTAAATCTTATGTTGTGATCGTGTATTTCAAAAGCAGTTTGGCCAGTCTTGGAGAATTGTGTGTTACCTGATTTGTTTGGGGGTTTGTTTTACTCTATTAGGTTAACTCGTTCTAAGAGTAGCCCTGATTTTTATCTCATAAAGACGTACTACGGCTGCCAGTATTTAAAAGCCATTTTGGAAGTGATGTTATGACTGAAACACCATTACACCATTGGTTTTTAGTTCCTTCTTTCATGGTCTTAACAGGCATGAAGGGAGCTCAAGGCATGTCGTTGTCTGTAGGATTGCTTCACTCGTTGCTGGTGCTGTGGCTCTTCGTGGTTCCCTGCAGGGACTCTGCAGTCTGCATTACTTAGGTGACTTGATGTACTCATTTAACGTAACCTGGATGTTATTTTAGCCCAAATGTCCTAAAAGGATTAAGTTGAAAATGTCTGTCTTATATGCCTGTCACTGAAATATCCGAATACTTTATCATACTTAGTACATCAAACCCTCACTTAATACTTCTTTATGGCTTCTAGAAAATGCACCAATCCTTTCTTTTTCCTCCCTTTTAGTTTTGAAGGCAAAATCGATAAAAGTTCTTGTTAGTGACCAAGGGGCTGCAGATCTCTGTTATTAATAGTGAAAGTCAGGACTGTGTTGAGTCTTACTGGCGTGAGTAAAGTACTTGTCCCACTTTCATCAAGAAACGTGTGATGGTCCGATAAACTCTGCCCACCAATGCAGGCTTGGCAGTGATCTTGCACTGCAGACTGCAGAATAATTCCCGTTATTTTTAATTCACGTTGAAGAAGTGCAGACTCCTGCTCCAATTAAGGTTGGTTGTGTCGCCGGAATGTGGTAATTACTTTAATTGATCACAAGATAGTTTCCTTGATCACCAATTAGACCAAATTACCGATCAAGTTTCAAGACGTGAAGAAATGTCCAAACTGATTTTGTGTAATAGTGTTTTCATATCCAATCAAACCTAAATATCTTTTCCTTCCAGAGCCAATTGTATTTTCCCTAAGCAAGGTTACGGCTCTACAAATATAAAGGTGATTCATCAACAATAGCGTTGCAATGCGTTTAATTAGCAAAGGAAGTATTTAGGACCTTAATGGAGATTGCAGCGGTGAAATTGCTTGGTAGAGCCGTGGCTCATTTATTAGTGGGAGATACACTTTGTGTATCATTAAAATAAGCTAAAATGCAAGAAATAAGTTGTTTTGGGTGATGGAACTAGATGATCGTAAGGTCCTTTCCAACCCGAACCATTCCATGTGCAGAGAGGGACACCTCACACTAAACCATGCCACTCAAGACTCTGTCCAACCTGGCCTTGAACACTGCCAGGGATGGAGCATTCACAACCTCCCTGGGCAACCCATTCCAGTGCCTCACCACCCTCACAGGAAAGAATTTCCTCCTTATATCCAATCTAAACTTCCCCTGTTTCAGTTTTAACCCGTTACCCCTTGTCCTGTCACTACAGTCCCTAATGAAGAGTCCCTCCCTAGCATCCCTTTTATGCACCTTGAAGACATTTTGCTGTCTGCAGGGGAAGAGGTGGTGGGTTGTTGTGGTGCACCGTTTGGAAAGGATTTGGTGGTCCACTAACTGGGAGGATTTGTAGTCACAAAGTGTGAAGGAAAGTCTGCAGAGCAGATTAATTTAGTGGACTCGTTTGCTTGCATGGTTCACTCCATTGGGGCAACGATTATTATCACACAGTCAATGAATTGTGTTTGTGTAGTGTAACCTGTGTGTATGCATAGGCGGGGGAGTACCTGGGATGGACAGACACCAGTAGAGCAAACATGAACCTAGTAGGGATCTTCATAAATACAATGTGTATTTTTTACTCTCATTGTTTGTACAAAGGCAATCCAGTTGCTGTTTTAAACTTCTGGGGACATTCCTGTTATAGGTTCCTGTACTGGAAATAGCATTTGTATGGACACTCTAAAACCATTTAAATCAAATAATCATTTGGCTTTATTAAGGCAGAAGTTTCCCAAATCATTTCAGACATCTAATGCACAACTTGCAGCTTTCTGCTTCAAAAGCTGCTGCTGAAACATTTGCAGTTTTTAAAAGCAGTTGTTCGCTCCAAGTAAAACTAAACCGAGGGAAGTCAGGTTTTCCTGAATTTTGGAATGCTCTTGGGTCAAAGAAAAAAGCTTTTTAATTGCTGACAGTTTGGTGATTTCCAAATGACAAACCTCATTGGAATGATTTTCTCTGATTATAACGTTTGCGTTCGTTTGACTGGCAAAGCAGCTAACAAAGTCATACTTCATCCAGGCACCAATTCCTTTCTTTACTTAAAGGTTTTTGTAATTTGTGAGAGGAAAAAAGACTTGAAACTATTATCAACCATTATATGTTATTCATTGACCACATGTTTGTTTGAAATGGCCATCGCTTGGCAGAATGCGGGCTATGTACGTTCTCTTCCATAAGTTAGCACTAAAAACCTACCTAAATCAGGTAGAGTTTTGTTGAGCTTGTGTTATAATATGAACCAGACTATAATGTGGATGTTACTTTAGTTTTGCCTGTTAATTCAAGTCCTGAACCTCAGTGGATGGAGCCGGGTATGAACAAAGCCCGCTGACTTAGAGGCGTCCTGCTCACGGACCGAGGCCCTTTGGGCCCCGCTGTGTAATTGCATCCTTGATTTACATGGACATTCTAATTTTCTTCATAATGCAGTGATTTGCCCCGAAGTATTTTTGCATGAGCCTGCTATTAGTTTCTTCTTGGGGCTGTGATAAAACCTGCGTCCTGGGGGAGCGTGCCGTGCAGAATATAGGGGCAGAGCATGGGGAAACCTATTTTAGTTCATTTAAAGGGGAAATGCTTTCTCCTAAAGCAGAGGGGCAAACCCACCTGTCCCTTTTTCCTCCCCCAGTAAAATAAACAGCAAAGATAGTTACATGGAAGGATGAGTTCCTTGAAGTTGTAGCAGTAATACTGTGGCATGATGCTTAATTAGAAATGACACGTTTCTAAGATGCAGTAAGTGATGAAGGGTTTGGGGTGGATGTTTAAAAGCACTGTTGGATGCCAGAGGTGAAATCATTGATCTCATGCAATGGCTTTGAATCCTGGAGGAAGTAGCCCTGAGCAGTGATTTACCAGGGTCTGAAGGAGATGATTTCAGCAGTCTCAGGAAATGCTCCAGTGGTGTGAGACGCTGAAATGCTCCTTTAGCACACACAAACCTGAGGTACAGCAATCTGGAGCATCTCTAGGAGTTTTGGAGTGAATCTTGCAGATCCCCTGCCAGTCTTGGCAGGCAAGGGAGTATTTTCCTCTTTGCTTTTTCTCTCCTTAGGCTTTTGGATTTATGACACGTGTTGCTCTACAAGCAGAGAAGATGAATCACCACCCGGAATGGTTTAATGTCTACAGCAAGGTAACGTGTTCACCAGCTCTATTTACAGGCATGGCAAGTTAAGGAGACCAAACCACTCTCTGCCTGTAGCTTATAATATACAAGATAAGGGAATGGAAATAGATTGTGTCTTTATAAAGAGATTTGAGATTTTAAAGAGACACCGAGATATTTGTAGTGGTGAGGAATCAAGAATCAAGCTCTTTGTGGTTGCCGCCAGCTGCATGGTTTGGACCTGTAACTTCACCTCTCAAAATCAAATAGAAGCCTTTAAACTCTTATTTAGCCATCCTGAATAAATCACTGTTTGGAAACTACTCACCAACTCTCATTCCTTTCTGTGTGGCAAGTCAGGAGCCCAGCAGTGTAGGGTGGTAGGGTGTCTGTGTAGGTACCTAAATGGGAGCCTGGCACTCTCAGTTTAGGTTTGATTTTCTAAACCTTATAGGCTCCCATGTCTCTACATAGCAGCTTATAACATTTGTTTATAATATTACCTAACTCATGGTGGTCTCGTGTTCACAAGAGTTACAAGGTACATGGCAACCCTCGAATGAAAGGTGCTGTGTGAAAGGGGAAATTATTGCTCTCCCTTTATTTTTATTTCCTAATACTTCTCATTGCATTGTATCAAGTTGGTTTAGCATTTGGTGAATATAGCCATACTGGTAAAAATACACTGAAAGGAGGTATGGACAAGCAGCCTGTGGCTTGGAATCACTAGAGCAGGACATCTCCACCTCTATTCCCTGTGGCAGCATCGCCGCACCAGCTCCTCTCCATCAGCCCTTCAGGTCCCCCTGTTTAAGGGGACATTAAATGACCACTGGGCAAAGACCTACTCACCTGCTCTTCACCATTTTTGGGTGTTTCCAGACTATTCACAATTCATCTTTTTGCCCAAAATCCCAGTCGAAGGTGAGACAAATGCAACGCGTCATCCGCCTTAGTCTGCACAAACCGGCGCAGGCAGCTGCATCACAGCAGAACGCACCAGCCTGTTTGTTTCCCTTCTTGGAATTAATCTGCACCAGGCTTAACCAGTTCTTCACCTCCAGGGTGCTGGGTTTTTAACCAAACTCTGGAGCCCCTGACTGGGCCGTTGGCAGCTTGGTTCTTCATGAAACCCATCCGTGGGATTTAAACGTGAAGAGTGAGTTATTTAATCAGACGCCTCTTCTTGGGTGAAGCCCAAGAACACCAAGCCTGTTTTCTTCTGTGAAGGGGCTCACTTTGGTTACACTTCAGGCTCTGTTGAGCATCCCCACCTACAACGTCTTCTGGTTTACATGAGCAGTGAGCATCCAGCTCGCTGCTGGTGGGGAGCATCATGTAAAACCAGCTTGCCAGAGGCACGCAGCATTCCCGATGAATTGCTGCTCGACTGTGTCTGAGATGAGAATGGTTTTGTAACCCCTTTCTTTTTCTTTCCTGACAGGTTCAGATAACTCTGATTTCCCACGACTGCGGTGGACTGACCAAAAGAGATGTGAAGCTGGCTCAGTTTATTGACAAAGCTGCTGCCTCAGTGTAACCAGGATGTAAACCACTTCAATACGGCGTCCACCAGTATTATGTAAATGGTATCCCTCATTCCTTGTAACCCTTATTTCCCAAATCTCCTGAGACAGGATGCTTTGTAAAGAGTGGCTTAGCTTTCTTGGCCTTTAAGATCTTAGTCTTGTGACCCCTCTGGATGCCTGTGCTTGTCCTTTGCTGGCGCTGGCACTGCACACGGATGTAGCAGATAAATCACCAACAAGTAAGTTTTGAACAGTGCTTTTCTAGAACCTCTGACAAGCTGGAATGAAAGCAGGAGCCCAGCCACAGGGGTCGGTGTTCCCCAGGCCCACAGGAGCCTGCTCCGTGCCCAGGCACTTCCCTACTATAGATTTATACATCTCTGCACTTCAAACAGTGGGAGAGCAGCCAGGCTGGATCAGTCCCTCTGAACTGGTCCCTTCATCTCTGCAAGCGACCCATGGCAAGTACAAGGGGTGCTGGTGAGATCAGTGCAAGCTGCTGCTGCTTCCTTGGAGTTGCAGCTCAACTGGCAATTACAGCTTTGCAGTTCAGTGTTTCTTCTGTGCTTGTCTGCTGGCTCTTTGAGCCCTTTTGCACACACAGCCCAGCAGCAGTGTGGCTGCCTGAGAACCCTTCCCCATCTCAGATGCAGCACTGGGTCCTGCAGCTGCTGAAAACTTTAGCTTTTGGTCCAGCAAGTACAAAAAGAGCCCAGATTCACACCATGAAGTGCAGCACGTGGCTGAGTGCGTGGCTGGGCCAGGTCAGGACTCATCATCTTGTGGGACTGAGCCATTATTTGTGTTGTAACACTCATACCCGCTGGATCCAGGCACCATCCAGAGCTGCCGGCAGTGAAGGAAGCGGCATTAGCAGGATTCTTGCTAAGCTGGGCTCTTCTGGAGCTATGCTCACCCTTTTTTTCCCCCTCTGTAGCTACAATTACTCATCGCCAACATTGTTCCAAGAGCTGCAGATCCCTCTGACGAGCTTTAATTTCTGCCTTGGTTTCAAAGTCTTTGTTTTTATCCGATGATCCTCACCGAGACAGATTTCCACTGCCGGCAGGGAGGTTTCAACCTGCTTAAGGCTTGCAGAAGGGCCTCTGGGCTCCGCAATCCCGCTGCAGTGTCCCCGACGTGTACTGTCATGCCCTGCAAGCAGCTCTTGCAGGGGGGAGATTGACACCTCCCAAATGCCTGAGTGCATTGCTCGCATGACACAGCCATCAGCTACTGAGAAGGGAGATCCACGAGCGCCAGCGTCTATATCGGGGGGTGTACGCGAGGTGTGTGGTCTCTCAGATATGTGGGATGCAAAATGCCAGTGGCTGCCACGCGAGTGTTGCTGTGGATAAAATAAGAAAGGTATTTTTTGTTAATCCTTAGCAAGTGCACTGTCATGTGCTAATTGGTCACAGGAAGCAAGGTGACCTATAGGGATGCTGGGGAGGGACTCTTCATTAGGGACTGTAGTGACAGGACAAGGGGTAACGGGTTAAAACTGAAACAGGGGAAGTTTAGATTGGATCTAAGGAGGAAATTCTTTCCTGTGAGGGTGCTGAGGCACTGGAATGGGTTGCCCAGGGAGGTTGTGAATGCTCCATCCCTGGCAGTGTTCAAGGCCAGGTTGGACAGAGTCTTGGGTGAGATGCTTTAGTGTGAGGTGTCCCTGCCCATGGCAGGGGGGTTGGAACTGGATGATCTTAAGGTCCTTTCCAACCCTAACTATTCTATGGTTCTATGTTGGTATTTATTATTGGTAACACTACTTGGGGGATCGCATTCAGACCTAAAAAGACCCAAATTCTGAGTTCCAAGTTCGCTGCTCACAAAGTGCCTTTCCCCAGTGAAGTATTTCCCTGATATGGTTGGAAGCGGTCACTGTTGTGAGGGATGAACAGAGCTAAAACAAACAGGGAGGCTGGGATGTCTCCTGTCACTGGTGGGGGTGTGAAAGGAGCTTCCCCCAAAGTTGTAACAACATCTCTAACGAGCTGTGAAAACTCTGTTGTTAGCAATGGGTACCGAACGCGTGCGCTCCGAATAAAACCAATCACATCAAATTCCTCCACTGTGATTTGCTTCTTTATTATTGTACAGATGTGACAAAGCTGTTTAGTTTTCAGAGAAATTGAAGATAAATAACGTTTAGCTACTGGGAGGTCTTTGCTTTAGAATATTGATGTTTATTTACATACTCCGAGGCAAAAAGAATCCCCACCAGCCAATTTTGCTGCAGAGCTGCAGCGTCCAGCTATGGCAGAGCTGTGCAGCCGTGGTGCTTGGAGGAGCCTGAGCAGCAAAGAGGCAAAAACACCCCGAAAAGGGCAGGATGTCTTTGAAGCACTCGGCGTTTCTAGGTCAGCACTTGTTTAGCCACAATTCCCTGTTAACTTCTGGGCATCCCACAGACTTGTGAGTGCCTTTTGCGAGCGTTGCTGTGCAACACCAACAATAATAGAATGAAAATAGGGAATAAACGGCTTCTGCTTTCTTTTCCAGCGAGTGCTGGCTGCAGGGCAGCCTCACCAGTGAAATCCTGCTGCTGCTGATGCCATGAAGAGGTTCCCTCAGGGCTCCCAGGCAGTGCCTTTGCCTCCATCCCTGCTTGGTTTTTTTTGGCTGCTGCCCTGTGTGAGCTGGGAAGCTTCACCCTGCCGGAACCCAGGGGTTTCCTTCATGGTAAAAGAACCTTTTATTTTGGGGTGGTGCTTTTTATGGACAAGATTCTCAGCATTTCTGAAGCGCATCCCAAAACTGCAATGAATACCCATTGAATTCCACCTCCAGCCCCATCTCAGCAGCATCTCAGCCCTGTGATGCTGAGGAGCCCTGACCCACCTCCGTGTAGCTCCTTAAATCCACAGCACCCAGCTTGCAGCCTCTCCATGCTGCTGCATCTCCCCAGCTCTTCTCCACCAGCACTGTGCTGCTGGTGTGTGGTGAGTGCAGGATGCTGAGGACCATGGGGAGGGAGCTTCCCTGACAGAGCTGGAGCTTCACAGCAGATGTACACAGCAAGGATTTAATGACAGGCGCTGGATTTGGGCCAGGAAACAGCCTAAGGCACCTTCTCCTGTGAAAAGCATCATCAGCTCTGCTCTGAACAAAAGTAGCCAGGGTGCAGGGGTTGGGTCTTTTCCAGGTGACGTGATGCTCCATAATGATACAGGTCAAGCAGTATGCAGCTTTCCTGGCTGTGCTGGCTGGTGTTTGGTCCCCATGTGCCTGCACCCCAATGCTCTTCCTGCAATCTAATCCCATTTGCCTCTTCACTGCAAGGCTCAGCTCATGGCTGGCAGCCACCAGCTTAAATATTCCCCTGGGATATTTGGGGTTTTCTTTGCTTTAACACTGATTGTGGCTTGAAATATGTGGATAATCCATCATGAAATCCAGCTCCTCCTTGCAGGTAACTTCCCTGTGCAGAGACTGATTGAACTCACTGTGTTCCCCCCAACCCAGTGTGGGAAACACCGACCCTGGGAGACCCTCATATGGTGCTCTGTGACCACAGGAAATTAAAAAGCAAAGGCTGAGAGAGCCGAGCAGGAAGGATGCTGGCAGCATGCGAAGCGGTTGGGATCACTGCTCCGGTCCTGCGAGGCTGGAGATCACACCTTCACAGGACTGCCTCTGAACCAGGGCCAGGGATAATCCTTTCCTCTCCCTAGAGTGGGAGCTCAGGCCCAGTAAACTGCCAAAATCATATTGAAAGGGGTGACTTTGGCCCTGGGAGGGCTCTGGGGATGGAGTCCCCACAGGCAGCTCTGCAGGGTCAGATTAGAAAGCAGCAGCCTGTGCTGGTTTGTGAGTTAGGCTCAGGCTGTGCTGGGTTTCCTCCTGCCCTTCCCCTTCATCCTCCTGGCTGCCCAGACTGGGGCAGTGGTGGAGCGCCTGGGGAGGAGGTTGGTTTGCTCTTAATTAACCTCTCTCATCAAGGGCTCTTTGGACATCAGAAGGTCGAAGAGGATGTGTCCTCACCCAGCTCCTCAAGGCTGGAAGGACAGACTGACGTGGTTACTTCCCAGATGCTTCCCTGTTGTCTGTGACACATTCCCAACTCCGGGATGGGGCTGGAGGCATCGAAGCATCCCTTGGGATGTTTCCCAGCTGCTGTGCCAGTGGTCACAGCCCCACCAGCAGCCCTTGGGGTTCAACACAGGGAAACCACAGGGCAGATCCCATTGGACCAGAGTTTTTTGTTGCTCTCTGTCCCCACAGCGGCTTGGCCGTGGCTCAGGGGTGCCTGCAGCGTCCCCGCTCTTTGGTGATGAGCACAATTCCTGGCTTTGCCTGATCCCTGCTCCAGCACAGCCTCCATGCCCAGCCTCACAGCCTGCCAGGTCCTCTCCTCGTTGTGCTTTCCAGTCATGCAAAGCACAGTTTTGACAGCCTTGCGCTTCACACTCAGAGGCGTGCGCATCTCCTCTGGCCTTTCCACCCTCAGCTTGACGAAGGGATTGCCACTTAACTGAGCCCGATGAGTTCTGCGTGAGCTACCTTCAGGTCTTCCACCACGGCAAGAAGCAGACATGGGTGTGAGCTACCCCATTGACATCAAAGGCTGTGCTCGTGTCAGCGCTGCTCGGGCTGGTGATCTGCTGCAGGATTGGACCCTTTGGTGAGGAGCTGACAATTCGTTTGCACATGAACGCTGGAAGGAGTCCAGGCAGGGCTGTCAGAGCTCCTCCAGCTCTGCCCTTGTTTCTGATAGCAGAAGGGCACCGAGTTCTGTGCCTCCCTCCTGGGCGATGCTCATGATCTGCATCATCTCCACCAGCACCATCTCCCTGGCTGTGGGGACCAACCGCTGCTGCTTGTTGTGCTGGGGTTCCTATTTGGAGGTGAGGTTCGGTACCCAGGAGGGGCTGGATGGAGGGGATGGGGGTCCAGGCCCTACAGATGCTCAGGGTGGCTTCCAGCCTGCTGTTCCTTCCCTGTGCCACTGCCTGCTCTAGCCCAGGGCCTGGATGGAATGCATTTCAGCCTCAGATCCCTTCACTTATCCGATAATGATCATTCTTAACATGCAATTGTTCAGCCCTTTCCATGGCAGCCCTTTTCTCCCTGTGGTTTTAGCACAGATATAGTTTAAGCACCCTTTTAATACTTCATTTTTACATTGAAAAATCCCTTTTGGTCATGCTCCTTGATTTCCTTGTCTTACACAAGCCAGCTACTGTATGCAGACCTCTGAGCCTTAATTATATATCCCAGTAATATATAGCCAGGCCTGGCTAATGTCAAGAAACCCAGTCACGAATGCTGGACGTTTCTGAGAGCTCTGGCTGCAGGACCAGGCTCTGTGAAGGGAAGCGAATGGCTCTGAGGGGCCAGTGGGGTGCATGATGTGCTGGGAAGTGGCCAGGACCTTCCTGTGCTGGGCAGTGAGCCATGACGATGGCTGCAGCAGGGTGAGCTTGGCTCGCGTTTGAAATGGTCCCCATGGGCAGAGGGATGTTGCTGGGGATATTGAATGTGGAATTGCTGGTTTGGTGCATGGGGTTTGGCAGCCACAGGCACCTGCCTGGGGTCACCTCCTCCTTTGTACAAGTCACGGATGCTTTCTTCATCACACTGAGCTTTTGCTGAAGCTGTTCATGGATCCCATCACTTGGGAGTGATGGAGACTGCAAGAGCGGCTACAACAGCTCAGATGCCATCATCCCCCTCATTGCCTTCCTCCAGCACATCTTGCCCATGGGCACCACCACTTGGACCCACCTGGAAGGGACAAACAGAGGTCTTCAGACCTCCCACCTACTCAAGCTCATCAAGCACAGCAGCAGGATGAAGGTAAAGCGCTGGTCAGTGGTTAAATCACAGCAGACATGGGGAATCCCAAGCCCAGGAAGAGGGGAAGGCTTTGCTGTACCCAGGTATTGGGGGCTGCCTGGCTTAATAGGGACTGATGCTTGTGGCAGCTCATGAGGAAAGGCAAAAACTTATCATTCCTGATTCTTTAAGCAGCTTGGCTGTTGGTTTTCCCCCTGTTTCTTCTTCCCCAAAGGAAGAGGAGAGATTTGACTTTTTACTACAGCAAAGTAGGCACCAAAAAAACCCAGCCTATAGGACATAGACCACATCCTATTCTTGCTCATGTATTTTTCACGTGTATTTTTCCCTCCATCACACCACCTCCTCCTTAGTTTTCTCCTGGCCACTCTGGAGGTTTGTTTTGCAGCAAGGAGCTTATGTGGACCACGAATGCTCAGCCAGCATTTCTGTGTGTGATTAATTGGCTGGGTAGCCCACCAGAAGTGGGATGTTTATGGGCACAGGGCTCTTATAATGTTCACTTCTGAGCCTCTGTTCCTCTGGTTTGCATCGTAAACTTCACTTGTCACCGGACTTTTATATGTTAATTATTCTGTGTCACTGGGAGAAGGGGGGACACGTAGGAGGGCATGAAATAACGAATGGGTTAAGCATGGGGGATCAGATGCTCCAGTTTGGGTTGGCTGATTATAAGGGAGCAAATGGATGCGTGGCAAAACCGGGGGGCATTTAAATGAGGGTAAGCATGTGTTTGTTGGGTTGAGCCTCACGCTATGCACATGAGGAACTGAGCCAGGAGATGCCTCATCTGGGGACTGCAAGGAAGAAGCTGCATAGGATAAGATTTGGCACCGTTCCCCCCCTGAGACACTTTAAATGTTGAGGTGCTTTGAAAAAAAAGCCCTGCTTGGCACAAACCTGCAAGTTTAAAGAGCTTAAATGCCTTGGAAAACCTGGGCCATGCAGCACTAGGGGTGGGTGGAAGTCAATGGGACTTAACACCTGAGGGACTGGGGCCACTGGGAAATCGCATCCTGGCTTGGGGTGGGAATGCCTCGAATGGCACTACCAAGGGAAAGACACCGAAGAGGAAAACTCTTCAGGCTCTCACAGTCCCTTTCCTGTTCCAGGGATGCTATAAATGCCCCGCAAAACCCTGCAGCACCACTGCTTCCCAGCTCCAGGGGCATTTGGTCCTTGCTGTTGTGTCCTGACCTGATGGGACAAGTGCCCTGAGCCACTTGGCATCCCAAGAGACAGCATCTCTTTGCCTGAAACTTGC